GAGCTCTCTGCTATACATCCACCCGATCCGCCATCTTGTTTGTTCTCTCTTCCATCAGTCTTTTAATGAAGACAATTTTGCAGACCAAATCCTAATCAAGGATGAGTCTTAGGTTTACCAATACGATCCAAAGAGCAAGGTCTAATCAGAACAGGGGCTTACAAGGGGGATCTGCTGGGCCAGTATGAGTCAAGACAGAGAGGTCAGCTCAGAGGGTTATGGTGACTGTCTTTAGGGATTCTCAAGAAGTAGCCTTGGAAGATTTTCATAAAGGACACAGAATGATCACCAGGGCTTATTAGGAAAACGTTTTAAGAAAATTGAAAACTGTACTGGTGAGAAAAATGTTAGGAAACTTGTATGAAGAATTTGTTTTTCACACAACAATGCACTGGCTCATTCTTCGAGGGTAACTAGGTCTTTCCGATGACAATGTCATTGGAAATATGACCCGATCCCTGCTACAGCCCTGATCTTGATCTTGACCACCAGACTTCTTTTTGCTTTAAGGACCATTAAAAAGGAACACAATTTGAGATGAGGCTGTCAAAAGCTGCCATTCTGACATGATATAAATTGAAGCTGACAGAATTCTCTGGGGAAGGGTTGGGGAGATGGAAACAACACCTTCAGAAGTGTATGGACCTAGATGGAGGATCTGTCAAAAACAACACCTTCACAGTTAGATATATTTGTTTAATAAAAGTTTCTATGCATTTAGCAGTATTTTTTCACTTCTCCTATAAATGAAAACATGATTCATGTTAGCTCAGCCTTCTCTAAATACACATAGAAATGAAAACACTTACCCAATATAATATGAGAGCCAGCATTTAACTTCTTCTTCCACTGGTCCAAGACATTTTTTAAATTAAAAAGTATGTCTTTATGCATCTTCAAGCAAAACATTGAACTGCTTTCTACGACCTAAAGATGAATCAGAAAAGATCGATTCAGTCAGAATCGTAAGCCAGAAGCTAATACCATGTGCAACATACATACACACACACATATATGTGTATGAAGCAATTACATACATAAATATATTTCTATCGCATACATACATACACACATTGTTGTTGTGAAGTGCCGTCAAATCAGTTTTGATCCATCGTGACCCTGTATAGGGTTTCCAAGGAGCAGCTGGTGAGCTTGAACAGCCAATCTTGCAATTCAAATGGCTTTGCAGTCTGGTGCATTAACCCACAGCACCACACCAGGACTCCACTTACATACATACTATGCTACCAGAGCTTACGAATCAGGCTGCTAACCTCAAGGACCAGTGGCTCCATGTCAGAAAGATGAGGCTTTCTGCTCCCTTACAGCCTTGGAAACCCTACGTAGGGTCACTGTGAGTCAGAACCGATTCCACGACACATAAATATATATATATAAAACACCTCACTGCCACCGAGTTGATTCTAACTCCTGGCAAGCCCACATGTGGCAGGGTGAAACTGTTTCCTAGGATTTCCTTGTCAATGATTCTTACAAAAGCAGACTGCATCTCTTCTCTGATGCTGCTGGTAGGTTAGTAGTGGTGGTATGCCGGGGAATCGGTTCTGACTCTAGGGTTTCTCAGGCTTTTATAGGAGCAGAAAGCCACATCCTTCTTCCACGGAGTGGCTGGTGGATTCGAACTGCTGCCCTTGAGGTTAAGAGCCCTCCTCATAACCTACTGTGCTCCCAGGGGTCCTGCTAGGCTAGCAGTCAAGTGCACACTGTTGGAGCCACCCAGGGACCTCAATTACGAAAACCAACCACTTCAAATGACCTGTGAGAACATGACCTCACTGATGCAGCAATTCTAGAGAATGAGATCATTGCAGAGATAAATGAATATATTTCCAGAACATTGGTAAAAGACCTGTGCAATTGAAATAATGCTGAACCATTTTCCTTCCCTCTTAAATACACACAGACACATGCACGTCAATTTTACAGTGCATACACACTCCCAATCGATGACAGTCGTCAACAGAAGGCTTTTTACTAGCCCACTGTGTAGTCATTACTGTTCCAAGGTAGATGCTTTACTGAGTCTTAGATCTTAGAATTACTTTATATAAAATTAGGTTACAGTAAATAAATCATTAGCCAATTTATTTGGCTTTCCTGGCTGCATGATTATATTTTATTGCCGTCTTCTCTATTTTCTTATATAGAAGGGACAGAATATGCTGGCATTTTTTCATCAATCCGAGCTTTTCAATGTTCAGCCACAACAGCACTGAAGCACTGCTTCCCCTCAGGAAGCCCCCACCACAATGGAAAGTTTGGTTCGTCTTCCTGCTTCTTCCCACAGAATGCTCTCCTACGTGTGACTTTAAAACTTCCTTTCCCTCTCACTTCACTCAACTACTCATTCCAGTAACTTCCGGTCGCCCAAGATTCACCTACGGAGAAACAGAGCATGATGAGGCTGTTTCTCTGTGTGGAAGAACTCACCTTATACACAGCTTCCGTTTCAGCTTCTGAACAGGTGAAGATCAAGGTCTTCTGCATCTGACTTGGAGAGATATCCAGTGTTTGAAGTAAAGTGGAGGGTTTTTCACTTTCAAGGCAAAGGTGCACCACCTGGTCATGAAATACAGAAACACTGAATTTTTTTTAATGTTCCCGGTGCCCTAATTTCACTTTCCAAGGTAAGTTACTGGTTTTAACAATAACAAAAAATGAGAAGGAAAGCAATGTAAGTTTACACAAACAAGTACAAACTTGTATATGAAGTCAAAGTTATACAATCTTTTAACAGAAAGCCTTGCTTGCGTTCGTCTGTCCCCTTCTACTACACACACAGACACACACATGACCTGTTGCACCCGGCCGTAAAGAGCAGCCTCTTCCATGGCTGTGACCACGATGTAGGGGTCGTTCATGAACTCTCTGGCCAAATGCTCTATGTGCTTGTTCCAATGGACTCCAACTGCGACAATCTGATGTGGTGTCGACTCCCTTTCTTCAACTTCCATGCTTTTTTTAAAGTCATCTAATATAGCAAACATCTACAAAAAATTTAGTAAGATTCATTTCATTTTTAACTCAGAAGGGAATAACATTTACTTTAACAGAGCACTGTGTGTTTTCTGCTCTCAGGAAACTTTTTTTTTTAAAAAGAAAGAAAACATTAAAGTTTAAAGTCATCAAGCATCTTAAAACCATACAATATACAAAATTAAAACACAAACAAGAGATTCTGAAGAACCATGTGTGTTAATACTTCAAGGGTACATCAGAAAGAACTTTTGTTAACTACGGTCCCAGTTCATGCATACACAGGTTTCTTCCAAACAGACCTGGTTTAGCCGCGTCTCTGCCATCAGTGCATGGCTGCAGACGAGTTCTCTCAGAGGGGTACACTTGTGTCTTAGTCTTGCTAGGATGGCAAGGGTCCAATCTAAACAGTGGTTTCCAAGAGGATCTTAGGGCCAGTTAGAGTTGAGGCAGAGAAGACAGCTCGGAATGGCAAGGCAGCTGCTTTTGGGGGAGTCATCTCTCTAGATTTTCTCAAGGACACAGTAGAATCATGGGGTTTAGTATGAAGAAGTTTACGAAAACTGCAATGGTGAGAAGGCCAGGGAACCTGCACTGAGGACTTCGTCCATCACAATCCACCTGCTCATTCTTAACGGGCAGTGTTGTTAAGTGTGGAAGAATTGGCTCCAATCCGTAGAGACACTGTACAGGGTTTCCGAAGAACGGCTACTAAGTTTGAACCGCTGACCTTGCAGTTCAAACTGACCTTGTGGTCAAGTGTTTACCCTACAGCATCACACCAAGACCCCTCTTAGACGGTACAAAGGGCTCTACTATGAGAACCTCTACCCCATTCATCCTACAGTCCTGACCTTGACCTTCTGACTTCTGTTAACAAAACTCAAATGACAGCTGTAAGAAACACAATGTGAGTCCCTCAGGATGCCCAAACTGCTGTTTTGACGTGGTGCAGACTGGAGAGTGCAGAATTCTATGGGGAAGGGTTAGAAAGATGGAAACACGGCCTTTGGATAGAGGATATGTCGAGAAGCAGTAGCTTCACATTCTGACACTTTCGTTTAGTCAAGGTTTCTATGATTTGTTTGCAGTCCTGGTGTGGCGCTGTGGGTTAACGTGCTGGCCTGCAAAGTCATTTGAACCAGAAGATGCGCAGTTCAAGCTCACTAGTCGCTCCTTGGAAACCCTACACTATGGGCCGCTATGTGTCGGATCTGACTCGACAGCATTGAACGACAACAACAGCATTGTAAATGGTAAATGGAAACCTTTTTGGCAGAAACTTTATCAGATAAGGGACGACTCTCCACATAAAACATTAATACCTTCAAAATAAAAAGACAAATAATCCAATTTTTAAAAAATGAGTTGGCATAAACAGACACTTTACCAAAGAAGACATTCAGGTGGCCAACAAACACATGAAGAGAGAGTCATGATCACTAGCCATTAAGCAGTCTGGGTGGTGTTGCAGGATCAGCACTGGACTGCTAACTCCAAGGTCAGTGGTTCAAACCCACCAGCCTCTCCGTGGGAGAAAGAGGAAGCTGTCTGCTCCCATAAAAATTTACAATCTCAGAACCCCCACACAGGGTCACTATGAGTCAGAATTGACTAGTGGGTCATGCGTTTTTGTTTTTTTATTAGCCATTAAAGAAATGCAAACCAAAGTAACAGTGAATTATCATCTCACCCCAACATAAGCAGCAAAGCTAAAAAAAAAAAGCAAAAACTACAATGTTGGTGAGGGTACAGAAAGACTGAACCCTCACACAGCACTGGTGGAACTATAAAATGGTACTGTGGAAAACAGGATGGTGCGTCCTTAAAAAGCTGGAAGTAGAAATACCATGATCCTGAAGTTTCACTACTAAGTATATGTACTAGTGAAGTAAGAGCCGTGACATGAATAGACATATGTTCACCCATATTCATCACAACACTACTATTGACAATAGCACAAAGATGGAAACCTGAATGCCCATCAATGAAGAATGGATTAACTATGGTGCAGGCACACAGTGGAATATTATACAGCATTAAAGAATAAAGAGGAATCTGCAAAACACTTTATAACATGTATTAACCTGAACGACACTATGCTGAGTGAATTTCCTGTTGTTGTTCAGTGTCATCGAGTCAGTTCCAACCCACAGTGACCCTGTATAGGGTTTCTGAGGAGCGGCTGGTGAGCTTGAACCACCAACCTTGCAGTTCAAACTGATTTTGCAGTCCAGCGCATTAACACACAGCGCCACAACAGGACTCCCATCAATCACAAAATGACAAATGCTGTAATGCACTACTAGCCTAATAAGTCAAGAAATGGGTCATAGACAAAAACATTATTTGATGGTTAACAGGGATGGGCACAAAGGAATGGTAAATCACCAAGTAGAGGGCAGACAAGTATTAACTTAGGTGAAGGGAAAGGCAGCAAAACTGATGAAGGCAAAGAAGACGTGGGAGAAGAGCAGGAGCTCAAGGCCACCGTTCTAAGTCTATTACAGACACAGGTCTACAGTAATGGACAAGATACACGGACAAGCCAGCTCAAGAAGTGTGAAGAGGAATATACGGATTCGACACCTGATATCGCAACGTATGTATTTCCCTATGCTGCAAATATGTCTGTGACTATAGAAGACGACACTGGGGGTAAAGTTATGAAAACTTAGCCATAACCAAGCACGCTGAGGGACTGAGCCTCGGGGACTGGATGCTGAGGACTACAGTCTCAGCGATACCAATGTCAAAAAGCAAACCAAGTAGAATATATACATGCATCTTCCTGGAAGAGTAATGATGCTTCTCCAGTGGATGCCATACTTACTTGTTCATTAGCTTCTGAGAATAGTATTTCTACCTCATCCAAAATCAAGTGACAGAGTCTGAGGAACAGCAGGCTCTGGTACTGATGAAGTCTCAGGAGGCTGTGCGGTGTGGTAACAATCACATCGGCTACAGTTTAAAAGAAAAAATAGGGCACATTTTAGAATTTCCACAGGTTTCCCTAACATTTTTTTTGCTGAGATTTCAGACCCTTCTAGAAATGCTCTCTCATTAAACAAGCAAAAAGATGTTTTCTTACTCAAGTATGTGAGAAAAGAGGGCCTGTCCAGTCAGGCTGTTGTTGTTAAGTGCCATCGAGTCGGTTCCGACCCATAGCGACCCTGTATAGGGTTTCCGAGGAGTGACTGCTGAGCTTGAACCGCTGACGCTGCAGTTCAAACGGCTTTGCAGTCTGGCACGTTAACCCACAGTGCCACCCAGGACTCTGCCCAGTCGGGTTAAATCACTGTCATTACCTGATTCAACTGCAGTCCCACCAATCATCACTATGTGCCCAACTTCTAATAAACAGTAACTTCCCAGTAAAGAAATGATAAACTCAAGTTTTCCCAGTGAAAGATCAAACCTTTGTCATCTGTAGCCAACCAACCAGTGTCCACCTAGTCAATTCTGACTCACAGCGATCCAAATCTAGACCCTCGGGTCACAGACAAGCGAGGCGGGGTCGTGTGTAGGGTCAACCGAACAATTGGGAAGGATGCTTACACCCTCTCGGAAGCTTCACATTTTTGGCTTCATCTTTGTGGAGTCCAATAGTTAACAACACAGGATGAAGAGGCCTGGAGGACATGTTATAGTCTCCCAATAATTCAAAAATAAACTGGGCCTTTTTCCACCCAGGGCACACGATGACTGCGAGAGGCTGTGGAGACAAACAAATTCACATAATTCTGAACAAACGTGAAGAATCAAACATGTGAAGCATTCACACCTCTCCATGTACCACTACTCCGTGTTCACTATCATCATCATGCAAGTCTGGAAAGGGGGGCTGCGACTTCGTATGGCATTACAGTGGACCGAGCATGCAGTGGAATGTGACCCCGCTGTAAAGCGGGATGACACTCTGATAGGACATGGGAGAACCCTGACAGCATGCTGCAAAGGGAAATCAGTCAGACACAAATGGACAAACTCTGTGTGATCCCACTTCAAGGAAATAGCCAGAAGGGGCAAATGCAGAGATCAAATTGTTTAGAGGCTACCAACCAGGAGTATCTGGGAGGTAAAAATAGGGAAGTCTTATTTTTAAAAATTTGGAAACAGTGGTGATGGTTGTAGAACATTGTGAGTGCACTCTGTGTCACTGAACTGCATACTAATGTGAGAGAATCGATGATTGGAGGAAAAAACAGATCTCAATTTGGAAATCAAACTGAATCACGTAGCCTAGCCTGGACTTTACCACATATTAGGTGTACAATTTTAAAACAAATGCATGTGAGCTACAATGTTGGAGGAGAATATTAAAAGCACCATAGACTGCCACAAGAACAAACAACTCTGTGTTGGAAGAAGGACAGAACTTCATCTGTTTTGTAACGAAACAAAACTGATTTGCACTTACTCCATTTCTAGCTGGTAAGGACTTGTAGCAGAACCCTGTTTGCAAAACCGTAAGCACCGGTGGAAGGTACAACATAGGGTCATTCCCACAATGAGAAATGACAACCACATCATAGCCCCGAGCTATGGGGGGCCAAGAGTAAGATTCAGTGTGGCTAGGTCCCGGAAACTTAGTTCTCTGAAGAGCCTACAAGACAAAAAAAACAACCATAACACATACACACACAATGTTGTGATTGTTAAGTTCTACAGAACGAAACACCACCCAGCCCTTTTGGACCTGGAGTCCTTGTGCTGAAAACCTCCTAGGCCCAAGAGACGGAGAGGGTGCTAAGACTGGAGAAGCAGTGAGAAGACAGGAAGTGGAGATCATGGCAGAAAAATGGCACCAGCAGAACCGGAAAGCCAAGCTCAAGATGATGGTGAGCTTCCTGGCCCAGAGAGCAGGTGGCTACTGTGGTGTGTGCCTAACCACAGCAGCATGAGAGCTGCGTTTCTTCAGGCAGGGGACTTGATGGTGGAGTGGGGTGCCTCTGGCACACTTACTGATGAACTTAAAGAGCTTTGTATCACTAGCCGGAGCAAGGCAGAGGCCAGGCCTGAGCAGGGTCCAGTGCCAGAGTAATAGCTAGTGCCGGCAGGCAGCAGCTGAGAAGCCGTCCTGATCCAAGAACTGTCTCCTGAGTTATCCCTGTTACTTCCAAGTTGATCCTGACCTGTGACTTCCCGAATAAACCCCATAACTCTCAGTACTGTCCCTGAGTCCTATGTGGCCAATACAAACACAAGAGATAAGAGAGTGCCGTGGGAGGGGCAGCTGGAGTCGGCAGTCTTGCCATCCTGACTTTAAGGAGCATTCTTAGAACCTTCTTAGTTCTGTCCTTCTTCCAACACAGAGTTGTCTGTTCTTGTGGCAGTCTATGGTACTTTTAATATTCTCCTCCAACATTGTAACTCTCACATGCATCAATTCTTCTGTGGTTTTACTTATTCACTGTCCAGTATTCGCATGCATCTGAGGTTACTGAAAATACCACGGCATAGGTCAGGCACACTTAGTCCTCAAGCTGACATCTTTGGTTTTGAACACTTTCAAGAGGTCTTGTGCAGTAGATCTGTCTCATGTAATACGTTATTTGATTCACTGACTGCTGCTTCCATGAGTGCTAAAGTAGATCCAAGCAAAATGAAGTTCTTGCCAACTTCAATCTTTTCTCCATTTACCATGATGTTATTATTTATTGATCCAGTTGTGAGGATTTTTGTTTTCCTTACATTGAGGTATAACCCATACTGAAGGCTGTGAGTTTTGAGCCTTCCTCAGTAAGTATTTTAAGTCCTCTTCGCTTCCAGGAAGCAAGGTTGTATCAAGTTCATAATCACAGGATGTTAATGAGTCTTCTTCCTGCATACTCTTATTCATAGAACCCAGCTTCTTAGATTATTTGTTCAGCACAGATTCAATAAATATGGAGCAAGAATAGGGCCCTGGCCCACATCTTTCCTGATTATAAATCATTCAAGTATTCCTTTGTTCTGTTTGAGCCACTGCCTACTGGTTTATGTGCATGTTCCTCATGAGCACAATCAAAGTGCTCTGGAATACCCATTCTTCGCAACATTATCCCTAGCTTGTCATGATCCAGAGTCAAAAACCATTGCACAGTCAATCAAGTACAAGTAAATATCTTTCTGGTATTCTCTGCTTTCAATCAAGATCCTTCTAATGTTACAGTTATACAATGATTTCTCCACAAAAAACTGTTCACTTTTAAGATGTTATCCTGGATTAAGAATAAATGTGAGATTAATAACAAATGCTTAAAAGAGAATTTCGAAAGCAAAGAAATCATACAAATACAACCACGTAGCTGTACCTGTTCAATAAGAAATCTTTGTGTGTTGAACACATTAACGTTCTATGATGGGTTCCGCATTAGGGGCACGTTTACCTTTTTTAGGTTGAACACGTTAGCGTTCTATGATGGGTTCCGCATTAGGAGCACGTTTACCTTTTTTAGGTTGAACACATTAGCACTCTATGATGGGTTCTGCATTAGGGGCACGTTTACCTTTTGTAGGTTGAACATGCTAGTGCTTTATGATGGGTTCCGCATTAGGGGCACGTTTACCTTTTTTAGGTTGAACACGTTAGTGCTCTATGATGGGTTCCGCATTAGGGGCACGTTTACCTTTTTTAGGTCTGCTGAAAGTGGCGACATCTCAATGGTTAAGCAGGGCTCAATCTTGTTCCGGAGCACCACAAAAGGCTGCTGCACCCCTGACTTCAGCTTCTGCAGCTAAGCGAACAGACACATTTGACAACTAATAGCCATCTGAGGTCTGATTACACAGTACCCGGGACTTCACAGAAATGAATCAAATGCAAGGTTTGATGTCAATATAAGAACCTAGGTTCAGAAAACTGGGTTTTTAACATAGCATAAAATTCAAACACATTCAAAACTATGTTTTTATTTCTAACCCAAAAGAAATAAGGAATCATTTATCTTAAGCAATAATTGACTAGAGACCTCCAGCAGGATGGTGGCCTGGGCAGACAGACTGCATGAACCCTCTACAATAAGGTATGAGAGCCAGCCAGCCAGCTGCTCCTGAAAAGAAAAGATGCGGCTTTCTGCTCCCACAAAGATTTAAAAGCCACAGCCCTGGGAGAGTTACGACCCTGGGTGAACGACAACCCAAGAGAAGACCTGATATCCAGTAAAAGTAGTACAGAAGCATCTGCATGTTCAAAACTTCATACCTTAAGATAAGAGACTCAATGTCAGTGAAGGGTTTGGAATGGGAGTAGGAAAGGGGTGTGCCACTGTTAATTTGAAACTGAATTATATAAACAGATAAGGAGGGAGGGAAAGTTTTTCATGGGCTAGAGAGGGCAGACACATGTGGATATAGGTGGACAGGACAGACAAAATACAACAGGAGGGAGGATAGTAGAGGAAAGATGAAGGCAGCAGGAGACACAGGGAGGAATGCAACAGTTAAAGTGAATAGAAGTAAATGTTGCTAACTCTTGGTACATGGAGGAGACTGCAAACATGTAATGAAGCAAAGTATATGACTTGTTCAATGTAAACCTGATGAACTGCTCTGTAAATCCTCACTCAATTCACAATAAAAAGTAAAAAAAAAAAAAGCAGCAGCAATAATTGACTAGATTGTTCTAAAGGAACATCTTCAGATGGAGTTGTTCTCTGCTCACCCCATCCCATCCCATCCCATCCCATCCCATCTAAGGAATTTTTCCAGTCAAGAGGAAGGACGTTCCCTTCCTCCTTGCCTGTAATACCTGCTGTAGATCAGAGATTCCATCGGCTCTCAAAGGATCAGGATTTAAAAACTGCAGTAATCTGTAAAATAGTTAAAATACAACTTGAAAGGGGAAAAATGTTTGCTGCTTCTATTCAGACATCATTTAAAATTTTTCCCAATAGTGACAAAAATGGTGTCGACATCCCAAGGCAGAGCTGTATACTTACCACTTGCTTTGTTTGGTAAGATAAATGGGCCATGGGGAAGAAGCCAGGATGGCCAAATGTCATCTCTCATACTTCGGACATAGTATCAGGAGGAACCAGTCCCCAGAGAAGGACACCATGCTTGGTAAAGTGGATGGTCAGCAAATAAGAGGAAGACCCCAATGGGATGGATTGGCACAGTGGCAGCAGCAATAGACTCATGTATACCAGCAATTGTAAGGATGGTGCAGGACCAGGCAGTATTTCGTTCTGTAGTACATAGGATCACTATAGGTCAGAACCGACTCAACAGCACCTAACAACAACAACAACACAGACCCTCGGGGTGGGAGTTAAATACTGATTAACCTGGAGGAAAGTAGAGATCCAGGTGAACACTAATAACCTCTCTCTTTACAAGAGTCACACGATATAAGGTCTTTGTGTTTGACTTCTTTCACTGAACATGATGTTTTTAAAGTTTCATCTATGTTTCGGCATAAATGAAATCAATCTTCCAAGAGAAACAAAAGACTTTTACAAGGAAAATTACAAAACACTACTACAAGAAACCAAAAGAGATTTATAAAATAGAAGAATATACCAAGCTCATGGATAGGAAGACTTAATACTGTGAAAACATCACTACTACCCAAATATAATACATACATATACATACATATAATGCAATCTCACAGATTCCAACATCTTTCTTTGAAGAGATAGAAAAAATGACCATGAACTTTATATGGAAAGAAAAGAGACCTTGGATAATTAAAGCACTGCTTAAGAAAAAGAACAAGTTGGAGACTTCTCACTTTCTGATCTCAAAATTTACTACACAGACATAGTGGTGAAAACAGTCTGGTACTGGTACAACAAAACATACACAGATCACTGGAACCCTGAAACAAATCCATCCACATAAGTCAGGGCCAAAATGCATTAAATGGGGAAGAGATAGTCTCTTCAAATGGTTTTGGCAAAACTTGAAATCCATTTGCAGAATAATGCAACAAGACCCATATCTTACCCTTTATACAAAAACGAACTCAACGTGGATTAAATACCTAATACGTAAGACCTTTATATGTATATATTAAGATCACCAATGAAAATATAGGGACAAACTGATGGGACTCTAAAACATACATGGCAGAAATACACTATCACACATTACTAAAAACACACACACACCAAAGGACAAAATAGATGACTGGGACCTTTAATGCGCTGGACTGGAAGGTTGGTTTGAACTACAAGGTTGCTGGTTTAAGTTCACCAGCCACTCCTTGGAAGTCCTATACAGGGTTGCTATGCGTCGGCTCCAATTCAACGCACTTAACAACAATGTGCATCTAAACGTCAAAAGACTTTAGATCCAGAGAGGGAGAGGGACTGTGTGCTGAAGACCAGGGGTGTGTGTGGGGCAGGCTTGAAGGATATACCCTTTGGTTGCTTGATGATGCATGTAGGGGACTGTAACCATGGCAATGAAACGACATACAATAGAGTGAATGTAAAACTAATGTTTTCCCATGTAAACTATCACATAATTCACAATAAAACATTAAAAAGGAAAAAAACCCCAAAACAACAACAAAAAGATTCGTCAAAAGAGTATAAAGAGAGGCCTCCGAACACTACGACTCCCACGGGGTAGCAGAACTCTGGGGCCCAGCACCAACTTTGTTTGCCAGCTGCCTCACAGGGCAGAGGGTGGTCAGATGGCAGATGTGGTCGTCAGCGAAGAGAAGGGAGGGGAGCAGTGACTAGTGTTGTTACCCCTGTCCCACATCCGGGGCATCATAAGAGTTCCTTTCCCGAGGTGGTGCTGGTGCTCACAGACACCTACTCCTACAGACATGGCAGCAGAAAAGAAAAGAAAGAACTAGCTTACAGTGTACGTAGCAAATACTGCCAAGGAGTCAGATACTTTCCAGTTTCTGGCAGACATACCACCAAAGAAGATTTTATCTAGCAAATACCTAAAAATGGTTAAGGAGAATAGGGAGGAGGAGGAGGAGGAACACAGTAACCATGAGGAGTGTGATGAGGAAGCTGGATCCTAAACCCAGAAGAGAAACTCTGGGCGGCTCTGGCTGGTGAGACTGTCTGGGCCAACAGCACTGTTTCAGAGTAAGCACAATTCTATGAATTTTCCGAGCTTCCCGAATAGGTGATATGGCCTCTGGCCAAGACAGAGCATCAAGCGCAGCTCCTGCTTAGATAGCCAACAGGAAGTAACCCCAAGAGCAACCTCATTTTCTGGCTCCCACTGCAGTGGAAGGTTACCGAGAACAACTGCCAACAGGTTGGCTACAGTTCTGAGCTGCAAAGACCACAATGCTCATTGTCTTCGATACAAGTGGACTTTGAAGAGCTTCTAAATGTCGATTGTATAAATTCATATTTGAAGATTTTTAAGTTCTGTTTTATACACAACTTGATCAGTTTTAACTAAATGTGTAGTTTATGGGTTGTTGTTAGGTGCCATCAAGTCGGTACCAACTCATAGCGACCTTATGCACAGCAAAACGAAACACTGCCCGATCCTGGGCCAACCTCACTACTGTTGCCACGCTTGAGTCCATCAATGCTGCCACTCGGCCAATCCATCTCGTTGGGGGTCTTCCTCTTTTTCTCTGACCCTCCACCTTACCAAACATGATATCCTTCTCCAGCGACTGGTCCCTTCTGACAATATGTCTGAAGCATTAGAGACAAAGTTTGGCCATCTTGGCCTCCAAGGAGCACTCTGGCTGCACTTCCTCCAAAACAGATCTATTAGTTCTTTTGGCAGCCCATGGCACTTTCAATAGTGTCCTCCAACACCATAACTCAAAAAAGCATCGATTCTTCTACAGTCTTCCTTATTCACTGTCCAGCTTTCATAAGGATACAAGGTTACTGAAAATACCTTGGGTCAGGTGCACCTTAGTCCTCAAGATGATACCTCTGCTCTTCAACACTTTAAAAAGTTCCTGTGCAGCAGATTTGCCCAATGCAATATGTCGTCTGATCTCTTGACTGCTGCTTCCACGTGTTGATAGTTGATCCAAGAAGAATGAGTCCTTGACAACTTGAATCTTTTCCCCATTGTTAAGAATGTTGTTTATTGGTCCAGTGGTGAGGATTTCTGTTTTCTTTACAGTGAGATGTAATCCATAGCGAAGGTTGTGTTCTTTGATCTTCATCAGTAAATGCTTCAAGTCCTCTTCACTTTCAGCAAGCAAGGTTGTATCATCTTGCTTTTCCCCTAGAGCCCCCAAGAAAGAGGATGGCTCAGACAGCACCTTGTTTTGAACTTCAAGCCTCCTGAATTGTGAAAGAATAATTATCTGTGGATTGTGTGCCAACAGGAGCAGTAGAAGAGAAGAAAAGCAGGTGGACTGTGGGCTGGCGTGGCAGGCACATCCATCTGGAGCTTTGGCAAGTGTTGATCCAGTGGCTTTCCGGCTCAGGGCTCAGCTGGAGGCTGGCAGCAATTCACCCTCGTTCCCATGTCCTCCTGGTAGTTCCCATCACTGCCAGCCCAGTGGCCAACTCCTCCTGTGCTACCTCTCTCTGCCTGGGGTTTCACACTTGGCATAGCATCCCTGCTTTGGGAGGAGCATGAACCTGTCTTAAACTACGCCACACAAACAGTAAACAGAAAACAGTGTGTCCATTTCCAGTCTTCTCCACATCCACCGGGACACAGGTAGTGACTGCCTGAGAACACAACAACATACAATCAATTAACCGTAAATGTTCATGTTGTCACATGCCATCAAGTCGGTTCTGACTCATAGCAACCCTGTATAGGGTTTCCAAGGCTCAGTTGTGGGTTCAAACAACGGACGTTGCAGTTAGCAGTCCAGTGCTTATCTTATAGCATCACCCCAAGGTTCCACTAAATGTAAATATGACATTACAATGTCTCAAAGAAAACAGAAAATTACAGCTTACACAACAAAGCAAAAGAGAGTGCCTCAAATAAATAATCAAAATAGAGAGTCAGAAACTATGACATCAGTGATAGAATCAGAACTGCCTGATAAGAAAGTTTTTAAGATGCTAACTAGGAACCTCAACAGATTGAGAGAACAATCAAGGAAAACACAAATATTCAGCAAACAGACTGACAAATAATTGGAAAAATGGAAACCATACCAAAAAAGCAGTAAGAAAGCCAGATTATTAACACTAAACCTTCAGAAAAGTTAATACACTGAAAAGGTAAAAAAATAGAATTGAATCAATGGGAAGCCAAATGACTGAGCTTGAAGATAACTCTCAATACTCATCTGCTAGAGGAACAATCAGAGAAAAGCGTTTCAGAAATCCAAAGACAACTTTAGATTTATGTGGGGCACAATCAGAAGGAATAACTTACATGTGATATAAATTCCAGAACGAGACAGGAAAAATACATAGAAAACATCATCCATGAGTTGTTGGAAGAAAACTTCCCTAATATGAACATTGAGAAGATAGCCACTCAAGAAGCTGAATGAACTCCAAACAGGATAGACCTCAAAAGAAAAACATAATCAAAATTTTCAGAACCAAAAAAAAGGAAAAGAATCCTGCAATCAATGCAGGAAAATTAAGTACCTACAACAGAACTACTAAAAGTATGCTCTGATTTCTCAGCAGAAACCATGTAAGCAAGAAGACAATATATAAAACTGAAAGAAAAAACCAAGAGTCACATATCCAGAAAAACTGTCCATCAAACATGATGGCGAAATTAGGTCATTTTCAGACTATCAGAAATTAAAATAATTTGCAAAAACCAGATAAACCTGACAAAAAATACTAGAGGGTTCTTTGGACAGAGAACCAACAATAGCAGACAATGACCTGAAACTAGCATAGAAGACAGTATCCCCTAGACTCGACGCAGATATGTTGTTGTTGTTGTTATGTGTCTTCAAGTTGGTTCCAACTCATAGCAATCCTGTATAGGATTTCTGACGTTTTAAATCGTCGCAGGAGCAGAAAGCCTCATCTTTCTCCCTCAGAGCGGCTGATGGGCTCAAACTGTGGACCTTGTGGTTCGCAGTCCAATGCTCATCATATGGAGAGATAGTGCTCCCCACCCAGATATGGAGTATGCAAAGTCAAACAGACCTGTAAGACTCAAAATATAAAACCAGAGTTACAGTTGAAACCACAACAACTCATAAAGTAAAAAGATGGAACAAAACTTCCATATGAAGAGGAAATCAAACAGATTTCAAGAAAAATATAAACAGAAATAAATAAACCTGTCACCCCAAAATCTAGCCCAACCCTTACTCCTAACCTTAGCCCCTACTACTAATCCAATCCTAACCATAACCTTAACACTAAACGAAGTCTCAGACCTAGCTTAGACCTAGCCATAGGCCCAACCATAACCACCTTAACACTAAACGAAGTCTCAGACCTAGCTTAGACCTAGCCATAGGCCCAACCATAACCCTCACTCCTTGCTTCTACCCACCCACCCACAACTAGATGTTGTTGTTATTTAGTGCCATCAAGTCAGTTTTGATTCATAGAGACTCTGTATATGGTTTCCAAGGAGTGCCTGGAGGATTTGAACCACCAACCTTGCAGTGCAAACCGGCCTTGCAGTCCAGTACTTATCCTACAGCACCACACCAGGGATAAATAGACAGGCAGACAGACAGACAGAAATCGAGTATGTCAGGATTAATTACCAGGTTATAATTTAAAGTAATGTCATGCATGGTCTTTTAATCCGCAGAGAAATAATCACTTGTTAAAAAAAAACAACAACTTTCAGTTACTAGGGTAAAGGAATACCCTTGGAAGAACATTAACAGCCATCCCAGATCTGTGGGCGCTACAGCATCCTTCAAAACCCGGATCTTAGACTCTGTAAGAGCACTCCTGACGGGGAACTGGTGAGGCCTCTGGGAAGCTGAAAAGTCCAAATGGCTGCAGAGTCCACACCCTCCCCGAATCATCGTAGGTCAAAACCACCTACCCACCTGGGAAACATCCTGAACGTTATCACTGCCATGAGCAGCCACAGTTAGACAGAGTGCAAGAGTGTTTCCACAGGCTAGTATGTTAAGCAGTTATGGTGTTGGAGAAGAACACTGAAAGTACCATGGACCAGCAAAAGAACAAACAAATCTGTTGGAAGAAGTGCAGTCAGAATGCTCCTTAGACACCAGGATTTGGTGAGACTTTGTCTCTCATACTTAAAATATGGTATCAAGAAGGTCCAGTCCCTGGAGAAGGACATCATGCTTGGTAAAGCAGAGTCAGCAAAAAAAAGAGGACGACCCCAATAAGATGGACACAGTGGCCGCAGCCATGGGCTCACGGGCAACAACAACTGAGACAGCGCAGGAGCACGGAGTGTTCAAGTCTGTTGAGCACCACAGGGCAGCTAAGAGTCGGAGCAAACTCAATGGCGCCAAGCAACAACGTGCTCAGAAATCATAAACGTTATTTTGTAAGTTAAATATATTTAAAATCAAGTTATAACTGTTGGCAACTTATAAGTGAGTATTTTGTGAATCTGGCAGGACAACTGGGGAAAGAAAAATCCTTAAACCACACAGGGTGAAGACTTGAATATCTTCACTAACAGGTGGCAGGCCTATTTAACACCAGAAAATTGTTGGGAGGAAGGCAGACACCAACCCACAAAAAGATCAACTGTATTATCGTCATTTCTAAGTGCACCAAGATAACCGATGAGGGCAGGGAGACTTGACTACTTAACATGGGAATACAGCTTTCTACAGAGAAGTTACAGGAGACAACTGTACTATTTTTATGGGAACAAAAGTTTGAAGTGAAAATTAAAAGTCGTATGTAAAGTCTTCCTGCTTATAACTTTGGTACAATTGTTTCAATAAAAAATTCAGACCAAGAGAAAAATTCTTACTTCACACAGCCATTCTTCTCATCATACTCCTTCTTCTCAGCCAATCTCAGGGGTTTCTCACCTGGCTTCTGACACAAAACACTAGAAATCAAAACACACTTATTAAAACTTGTGACCCCATTTACCCCACTCTTTAGTGGCACTTTTAATATGAAAATCATTTCTGACACTACCAGCTTGGAACAACATGGAGTAAGTCCTACAAGCTCTCTCCTACTGCTTATAACAAAAAGCACAAAATAACAGAGAGACATCAACCCGGAAGCCTCCCAGAGCCATCGTGACTCCAGTCTCTTCTGACCGACGGGAGGTGTGGAGCTGTGGACCAGGTGTGCACTTGCGCACAGAGCACAGGGGATGGGTTTCCCAGGCTGTCGTCTTTATGACTGACCTGAGGTGTGGAGCTGTGGACCAGGTGTGCACTTGCGCGCACAGAGCACGGGGGATGGGTTTCCCAGGCTGTCGGGCCTTTCCTTCCATGGAGTCACTGGGCAGCTCCAACCTGACAGGTGATCCACTGAGCTAATCCCAACTCACAATGACCTGACAGCACACAGCAGGATTGTTCCCAAGGGTTCCTAGACTGAGTGTTTATGGGAGCTGATCACCAGGTCTCTTCTCCCACAGAGCCCCTAGTGGGGTCAAGCCACTTGTGGGTGAGCAGCTGAGTGCTCGAACCATTATGCTACCCAGGCGCCTCCTAACAGGTACTGACACAACCACTATGGGGCCAACTCCCTCTTTCTAGCCAGAGAAGCAGGGAAAGGGATCCTTTAAAACACAGAGCACAAGGTGTCCGCTCCAGGGTCAGCCAGCTGGAAACCCGAGAATACCTGCATCTCTGCAGAGCAGACCTTGGAAATGAGGATCCTGGGAAATGAAGACTAGGACTAGGGGTATACCCTTCTTCTTTCTTTCTCCCTTACTTCTCTTCTCTTAAGGCTTTGCTCCAAAAGTGGCCCCAGTCACCTGGCACATGGAGAACCCCATCTGTCTGGCCAGAGGAACAGGGAGGAGCAGCACTTAAAACTGGTGAATGTGCAGAAAACCTTGAAAAAGGAAAGCTGGAAAGGGGGCCTCCTAGTTCTCTCTGTGAACTACCACAGGCCCTAGGCCCACCCCAAGCTGAGCATATACAGAACAGACCCAAGGAAGCACAGGAAAGCCTGCAAACTGAACTAACATCACAACCACCACCCTCAGAAGGTGACACAGAACCCGAGGTCTGAGCCTGACGGAACTGTGACAGCTTACTAGTGTGGACTAACACAACAACACACACAAGTCCAACACGAACATTCTCCAGAGGACACTGGCAGGAACCAGAGTCTCACAATGTAATACTCAATACAGCCAGGACACAATCCAAAATCCCCTGATGTACAGAGAACCAGGAAAAACAGACTCATTATCCAAGGAAAAGGCAATCAGCAAGTGCCAAACCCAAGATAACACTGAAGTGGGAATCCTCAAAATCACACTAAGGCAGCTATTAACAGCTATGCTTCACGGGAGAGAGGAAAGGAGGATTCTCTTAAATGGGGATGCACACTGTTGTTAGCTGTCCCTGAGTCAGCAGCTAGCTCATGGTGACCCTGGATGGACACACCCAGAGAGGCTCACTGTGAGTCAGATGGTCTTCTTTCACTAGGTGAGTTTTGTAAGTAGAGCACCTGGCTTTCCTCCCTAGCCTGTCTTAGTCTGGAAGCTCTGCTGTAACCTGTCCAGAACTACAGCTATTGTTGTTGTTGTTGTCGTCGAGTTGGGTCCGACTCCCAGCAATCCTGTATAAGGGTTTCTGAGGAGAAGCTGGTGGGTTTGAACCGCCGACCTTGTGGCTCAAAGTGACCTTGCAGTCCAGCACATTATCCTGCAGTGCCACATCAAGTACAGAAATTACAAAGCAAAGAATCAAATGAAAGTTTAATAGTAAGTGAAAAAAATTAACGCCAGAATTTTTTGGAATCCTGGATACACTCATTATCAGAATCAGAATATTATAAAAGTCAAAAAGCATAAAGACAGATCAATCTGAAGACTATAGTCAGAAAAAAATACTGAAAAAGGAAAAGACATCAGAAGATCTCAGATTTATGATCGCAATCTTAGAAGCAAAGGAGAAGGAGCTGGTGCAGAGAAACTCCTTGTCATAATAATGGCTGAGGGAATCTGGAGCACATGGGCAGCTGTGACACAGCGCAGCCATCATGAGCTTTTGAGACCAGCTATTGATAGAGCAGCCTGCAGGCCAGGAGCAATGCTGAAGGTTGGTGGCAAGGAGGTGTAATTCTCCCTTTTCCCAGGCCTTCCTGGTAGCTGGGGCATGGCCAGTCCCCACCGTCACCATCTTAGCGGCCAATGGTACCCCCTTTCTGTGAAACCTCTGCTTTGTCTTGGGTTGGGCACATGGCACAGTGCTCTGATTCTGCAGGAGCGTGGACTCACCCTGAATTACACCACAAACAGCGAATAGCGAACTAACTGCATTCACACTTCTGATCTCTACCACATCCACGAGGAGGCAGGCTGTCAGTGTCTGAGAACATCAACTAACCCTAAATACAACACCACAATGTCTGGGAGAAAATGAACAACTTCGGCTCAAACGAGTGACCAAAACATACTGTCAGAAATATAACACCCGAAATTGTATGAGAACTACTGGACAAAGAATTTAAAAGAATGTTCATTAAGCAACTTCAACAGATTGAGAGAATAACTGAGACATTTACAGACGAAATCAGGGAAAATAAACACAAAATAACTGAAAAAATGGATGGGAACCATACAAAAACAGCAATTAAAAAGCCAGAAGACCAAAACTAAGACTTCAAAAATAGATAAGATACTGAAAGGGCAAAGAAATAAAACGGAACCAATGGGAAGCCAAATTACTAAGCTTGAAGAAAAATCTCAATAATCATCTGCTAAAGGAACAATCAGAAAAAAGAACAAAAACAAACTCCAAAGAAAGCCTAAGATTAATGTGGAACACAATCAACAAGAATGAATACCTTACGTGTGATAGAAATTCCAGAGCAGGAAGAGATGAAAGAAAATCACAGAAAGTACTGTCTAAGAGTTGTTGGAAAAAAGCTTCCCCAACAT